GAACGTTCTGCCAATATCCCCTCGATGTTTACCCTGATAAGACAGCGCAGATTGAGGTGGCTCGGTCATGTGTACCGGATGGAGGATGGGCGAATCCCTAAGGATCTGCTGTATGGCGAGTTGGAATCCGGTTCGAGGCCTATTGGCAGACCTAAGCTGCGTTTCAAGGACGTATGCAAGAGAGATATGCTCGCCACTGGCCTGCCAACAGATAACTGGGAGCTACATGCTGCCGATCGGAGTGATTGGAGGTCTGTGTGCAGTCTGGCACTCCAGGCGGGAGAGGAAAGGCTGAAAGCTGAAGCCGATGATAGAAGAGCTAAGAGAAAAGCAGCAATGAACAAAGCAACGTGTGTTCCAGTGGCATGCGTCTTCGTGTGCAGTGGATGCGGCCGTGTCTGCCGTTCTAGAATTGGGCTTTTTAGCCACGAGAGAAAGTGTTTGTCGCAATTGCGCTAGTCATGGACATGGTCCGATGACTGCCTACTACTACATACGGGGGGGATGAGTAAATTTCATTGTGACACAAAAAAAAATTCTCCGTGTCCCATCCCCCTTCCCTACCCGGCGAAAAGCAAAAGTCATTTGAAAATATATGTATATCTATTCCTCAAAGTTTCGGTTTTATTGAGACTTAAAATTATCAGGAGAGGAAGTAATACACCAAAACGACTTTTAAAGTAGCATGGAGTTCAAAAAATTATTGCGCATTGAAACATCAGCTCGCTTAAATTTGAATCATCATAAACTAATGAGCAAGTTATGTATTTGAGCCAAGTGAAATTTGAGGAAAGATTTCTGTATAACCCCATACCAATCAGAAACAAAGCCGTAATCCCAAAGGTAATCTGTTGTTTTACCTCTGCTTTCTTTTATCGAAGATTTGTATGCATAATGAAGTATGGGGTTATACGGAAATCTTGCCAAATTTGATTCAAGATAACGTGAAACATCCTGATTAAGCTTGATATTTTTGCTATACTCCACGCTTCATAACCATTAACGTGGGGTGTGGGTTATTAACTTATCGGTCCACTTCATGTGGTTGGGACTCTTTACCCTTATCTCTCGCGGTTCGGGCGATCAGTTTTGGCTAAAACTGCAGAATACCCGCCACTCATTTACATGTCATTGAATAGAAAAGTGAATAGCGTCTATTGTGTTATGCTTCATTCTTCAGAGCCTCCCGACACATGTTAATGAGGTGGACCAAAGTGGCCGGGTATTCTGCAGTTGCTCCGCTCGTTAAGATTTTTCTCAGGATTTGCATCCTAACTAGACGAGAAAATTGATCATAGTAATAACTGACTCCTACCTTGCGTTTCTTGATCCCAGTTAAATACTCCGTTCTGCAAAAAAGCAATCAAATATTAGTGCGGCGCTGTGAATTGATTACAGCACAGGCGTCCCAAGCTCACGTCTCGAGGAAAAGCGAAAGATCATTTCATGAAAGCGTCACGCGCTGTGTGACGCGGTGTTTAGTTACACGAGCAACCGTTGAGAATTTGAATGCGTTATGGGGAATAGTATAGGGAACGAAATATGGTCCATTTAAAACACTAAATATTCTGAAATATGAACATTTTACATGTAGGATTGATCAAACTTGCTCACTCTATGTGTGTCCGTCGTGGTTTTGGCGATTGCTGCTGTTTTGAGCTTGCTTTGCCATTACTGTTTTTCTTGTTATCAGACGACTCAAGACTTCCTCACGTCCCACGTCCCCGAGTCCCACATCTCCGAGTCCCACGTCCTCGAGTTCTACGTCTCCGTCCTACGTCTCCGTCCTACTTTTAGTCGCAGCCGTCAACCGTGACTTTGTCTGATAACAGAGGACGCCGCTCTTTTGATTCTTCAAAAACAAATTGACTGTGTTGTTTTCAAAATTGCCGCGTCTTAACTCGAAAGAATTCTTGGCACAATTGGAGACAATTGTGTAGACAATTAGGTAGTAGATAAGATTCATATAGTTTCTAAAGCATATTTATCCATAAAGAGGTCGATAACATGAAAAAGCCTGGCCTGGTTTACCCAGAAAAATTAATATTAAATGGAGCAAGGCATCTGATTGTTTACATACAGATTAGAGTGGTGCACACGAGCAATGCACAGTTTGGCCCGGTAAGTATTGTTATATGAAAAAACTTCATGCGCAGATGATCTGTAACCCAGCTAACGGTGCTTGCTCGGTTGTCACATCATCCAGAATTCTTGACTTTGTTACATTTATTCGGCGCGAAAGATCCTGGTAAACCGAGCCAATTCGGCTAGCTCGCGCGGCAATAACACAGCTTTTGCGTGAGAAACTTAAGAGGCAATATACCACCAACCTCTTTCAAATGCTCTTCTGGTATGTTTCTTCGACACGTGGGATTATTCTCCGTAACGGCCTTGACATTGGCATAGAATGAATTAACCATAGCCACCAAAGTAACACTAAAGTTCGCTCTCATCGCGTTCGCAACACAGAAACCCAAGAAGGACAGGGTTGCTAGTACGTAACGACAAGGAAATAACATTTTAAGTTCAAACGAGGTGTTGAGGTTTTTTTCTTCAGTAATAGCGAAGTTTCATCCATCGAAACGCAGAATTTTAAATAATAAATAGGACATTTCCAAATTACCTTTGGCCTCTCTTTCAAATCGAGGCCTGGTGCCTTACCATTCGTGGGAAAACGAGTCTAATTTGCATATGAATGAAAACTTATCATAGGAAAGGATGAGCACCAAAACTCGCTTTGAAAAAGAGACCAAAGGCAATCAGAAATGGGCTATAACAGTTTTGAGTTCGGCGTCACAGGAATGCAGCATGAGTACTTCTACTGTTTCTTTTCAGATGCAGGACACGAGGGCCTCAATGGGGTTAATAACGTGGTCTTCCACTCACATTTTCAAAATTTTCAATATTAACTGGGTCCAATTCATTACGGTACCTTTCCAAATATAATCCAAAAGTGTTACGAATTGCACTAATGATTGACATTTTGTAACCAGGCCCCCGACTGTAAAAAAAGTTTCTGTCTGATAAAAAGGATATCTAAAGAACCAGAGGTCCCATTCACCTGATAAATGGTATCAAAATAAAGTACAATGATAATTCTATGTTGTAAACTTCACAAAGTAAACTATAGAAGTATTTTTCAGAAAACCAACAGTTTATTTCTGTAAAGAAAAAATTAACACTATTTTGGCCCTCCTCACTCTCAAAAAATTAATTTTAGATTCATGCACTTTCACATAAATGCTTTTTTTTGGTTCACAACGCAGCAAAAATACAAGAGAAAACTCACTGAAAATTTCAGTTCAATTGCGCAAAAAGAAGCAAAGATATCCTTTTTGACGTGTTGGCTATTAAGGCAAAATCACAGGAATGAGAAAACTGCGGTTAAAGTTCGAAGGTTGTAACACAAGAGTAGTGATTGTCATGGAAAACAGTATTTTGTGCTAATTTCGATTTAACACATCAAAATCCACCAGGTACATAGGTATCACCCTCCTTTTCTTGTTGTTTATCAGTTCTTTCTTTTGCCAACAGCAATCTCCGCTGAGGCTTGTTAACTCCTTGTTCTTTGTACTTGGCTTCTAGAACTCGGACTGAATCAGCTCGTTGAGCCTCATCTTCACAATAACGTCCAGGAGAAATTGCAAGTTCCTCAAGAATCTTCACAGAAGCCTGACAGACAATATTAAAGTGGGCCACGTAATCTTAGTCCCCGCCCATCGACCAAGTCACTGCAAACATGTTTACATCATGTCATGTCCTGTCGAGCGTGTTGAAAGCCAAGTGAGCTTCTATCGTTGAGGAGAAGAAAAATCTTTCGAGCGATTTAAGACAAGACTTTCTGTTGGGGAAAACTATTGGAAGTCTTCGGCAACACATCATTGATTTCGTAGAAAGATAGTACATTCTCTTGTTTCCTCGAGGATCAATGATCAGTCCACCACAATTGGGCTCACCTCATACGAGCTCAAGCTTAACCGACTAATAAAAATATTAAACCTCTGCGCTGTTTCACATTTTAAACACGAGACTTTCAGCGTCCTGTAATGTACTTTGGACTATTATACCATCTCGAAGGAGTCCCTAAAGCGGATCACAAACTGGGCGGCCAAGAGCTATACTCACCCTTGCTCCTAATACCCAGTGCCCCAGTCTACAAAGTAATGCATTTACAGTCTGTCCATTTTAAGGAACTTCTGTCCTCTGGGACCATTAATTTCCAAAGAAAGGGAAGGAGGCATAAAAGAGTACATAAAGAGCTCCAGACCAGTGAGTCAGAGGAATATCAGAGCGGAGATGACGAAGGACAATGCAGGTGCAACCCCCCTCCCCCCCATCCGTTTACGCACAGACCAAACCTCAAGTATGACAGCTGTGAGGGAGACGATGAATCTCTTAATTCTATGGCTGCAAGAGGTTTTTTGTCCAACTATAACCTTTGTTAGCAACACAAGTATACCACAATTCCATACCAACATTGGAGTTGAACCAACGCAAGTTGATGAATACGAAAGCGACTCGGACAGTCATTTCATGTAAAATAAAGATGAATAGTTAATGGAGTTCTCCTATAATTAGACTTTCCGCTGCAAGATCTGGTCGGCAAATTTAATCTTTGAATTTACCTCACCGCCACATGGCATTGAGAGTGCTCTATTATTGTAGTGAAACGTAAGCTTGTACCATCATCAAGTTAGGACATTACACACGATAATGAGTCAAATCAGATGGAATCACTACGTCAGCAATGAGGTCGTTTTTGGGCTAGCTAGGAATTAAGGTGTTATTGATCGCCAAATGGAACAGCTGTAGAAAACCAGCTTGGAGTCAGGTCTATAAAATCCTGCTAGTGTGGTTCGCGCGTATAACAGTGGGAAGTAAGCCGGTTGGAGGGAAGGTCTACGGGGAGTTGGGGTGGGCTATTAGGGCCGGGGTCAACATAACCATCGTTTGAACCGTTAGATCGCCGATCCGGCCTTATTTTCTTTTTCTCACCATTTTCACTGCATTACTGCAGTAGGGTAGGACTAGAACGGAACATATGTGATCCATGCGAGTAGTCCACCATTAAATCCCACTCATCCCACCCCAGGGGAGGACTATCCATCACACAGTAATCTCGTGCGTGGGAAATTAACGTCTCCTACCCCTAACCCTGTAGGAGACGAGACCTCCATTTATTCTTCCCTATCCGAGAAGACTAGAATATCTAACCATTTCTTGATGTTATAGAAAGGTATTCTTCTCAATTATTTTAAGACCTCGAGTGTTGGTCCGGCCAGGGCTTGAACCCTCGACCTCCCGCACAACAGTCTAGGGCTCTATCGATTGAGCTAACCGGGAGGCGTTTAAGTGCGGATCTGCGTTTTCGTTCAAGTGCGGATCTGCGTTGGTTTAAAAGACCCTTAAAACTTTCTGTGATATGACATGTATGGGTATGTATGTTTTGCCTTTCTTCTACAACATTTCGATTTTATCCTTTTTGTTGTCATTTCCAGTTTCAATTGAGAGAGAGTACCGTTGGATCATGATGTTGAACCCATTAAAAACTGTAGTGCTGAGCTGACGAGGGTTTTAAGTCAAAAGGCTGAAAACCTACTGAAACTAACTCTAAAGAAAACTAACATACCGAACGAACCCGAGCGAGCCCGAGCGAGCCCGAGCGAGCCCGAGTGAGCTCGAGTGAGCCCGACCGAGCCCGATCGAACACCGATGTGATCCACTGTCCCAACTTTTAAAACAGACAGAAAAGGGAGTTCTTTCCGGAACTCTACCGAAATCTGCTTACTTTTTCGCAAAAAACCGATCACGGTTCACGTACTTTTAATTCTTATCAAATGATGACTTGAGGGGAACTTTAACCCTGACAGCCATGCAGGTTTTAGATCAGCGGATAGACGGACGTATACAAAACATGGACCGGAGTCCATGGACCACCCCTATGGACCCGGTCCATGGACCACCCCTAATTTTTGAAAAGGAGATCGCCCTTGTTAATACGAAAATTTACCGGAGGTCAGGGTATGAAAAACACGGACTCGTATTTATTGCGCCCCCATAAATGGGAAGACCATAAACTCGTTTTGAGATACAGAAGATCGAGTGCATTTCTACCCCCAATATTTTCATTCCAACACTTCCAAATTGCAATTCGATCGGGAAGACACCCCTACCCCGCTTATTATACTCTATCGTGCATAAAAATAAGCCGATTTATTTTATAAGCGAAGTTTACTCTACGAACACAAATTTATAATCAAGGTATATTGATGAAAAAGTTTAATGGATAGCTTGTAATTTTAATGAGAGAGCACAGAATCATTTAGTTTCCGTATTAAACGAAGCGTAACCTTGGAGGGGGTAGGTTGCCGGATAACATAAACTCACTCCAGCCCCTTCGCTCTAGCCCCTTCACAAAGTAAAGACACTTCTAGAAAAGGAAGTTAAGAGGTTAGCTTATATGAAAACTCCCTTAAAGCGCGCGAACGATGTTTCAGATACACAGCAGAGTGGAAAGTTGAAATTATTATTTAAACTTACCCAGCTTCTTCCATAACTCGTCTTTGATTGCCATACATTTCTAGAAATAAAAAGTAATTTAAAGCAAAATATGCCGGTTAAAACAGATATGAATGTATTTGCAAAAGAACATCCAAAATTGTAAAATAGCGACACTTTCCCTTCTCACCTTTCTCCATGTTTCCCACTTGTACGACAAAACTCAGTTCCAGTGGGGTGGTCCATGGACCCCGGTCCATGTTTTGTATACGTCAGCGGATAGACGGAAAAAACCAGGCGGGCGAAATTAACAGCGTTCAAACGTAGAGCATGCGTTTATTGGTCGAGTTTCGATTAGCCCCACAACCATTTTCAAGGAATTTTGAGGGAAAACATAACGTACAACCACAGACATGCAAAATTTGCGAAAAAAAAGATGAATTGTTAGTAGGAAAATATATAAAAAAAGTAATAACTGTACCAATAGTGAAAGGAACCCAATAATTAGGAACGCCATAATTTGAGGTATTTTCGATTTGACAGTTACTTCAAACCAAATCAAATATTTATTTTCGTAGAAATCACCTTAAATCATGGCCTTGTGCGGGTTTTTAAACGCCTGGGGGATAACTTGGTTCTGAAAGCCTAAAAGCAAGATGTCCACCCCTGGCCCTTCTAAGGTTACCCTGCTGGAAAAGGCGTTTATTTGTTGACTTCCCCTACGGTCCACGTAAAAATTAAGTCCTCTGCGCTCGGCCTGTTAAATCTTCTTCGAGCATGCGCCTGGGAATTATCCAAGTTTGTGGATAATCTGATTTGCAAAACCGGTCAGAACCTGTTTTAAACATGTTTTTATGCGCACGCATGCTATTTAGCTATATAGCAAGACCAAGTGTGAGCCCACAATCAGCCGAGTACTACCGGGAACTAATTTGTTTCTAAGCAACAGGCCGCGCATGCTCGAAAAAGATTTAATAGGCCGAGCGCAGAGGACTTTATTTTTACGTGGACCGTAGAGGAAGTTAACAAATAAACGCCTCTGCCAGCAGGGTATTTTAAGGTTGTCTCAACATTCGCACACGCGCATTCATTTGACTGCTAGTTTAGCGGAAAATGGCGGAAATTCTTGGCCAAGCGTTGTTAGTCCGCTATTTCCCTCGTCACCTTAAAGAAACTAAAATTAAACTGGATTGGTTCCTTGCAAGATTGGGTATCCGTTCTCCGCGCAGATAGACAGACAAACTGCTGTCCCAAATGTTTCCCATAATCCTACCTGTGACAACTAGTTTCCAGGATAAGCCGCGGATTTCGAAAAAAAGTCAGTTCAGATATCAGTCCTTCACTCCCGTGATTGACACGAGGAGGAACTATTTTAAAGAACACAGCCTTCCAATGGACGGAAACATACCTATTTTGGTTCAAACCTCTGGCAAATCTCGCCGAAATTCAGGATGTTATCTACCCTGTCGATACGTGCTAGCAATGTTGGCTTGCGCAGGTTTTTCTGTGGTATATCTGTTAAGAGTGAACTTGAGTGTGGCTTTGGTTGCAATGGTTAATTCGACTTACGCCAATTCGAAGGCTTCCGCGAATAATCCTGAATGTCAAAGAAACACATCAAAAACATCTGAAGAAAAGGTAGGTTTGTTTACCTATAGCAATCGACAAAGGGCTTGATATAGCTTGACCTGTTTGTGATAGTAAATACCCGTCCACATCATTTACATATGTCGGGAGGCTTTTGAAGAATGAGGTATAACACAATAGACGCTATTCTTATTTAATGACATGTAAATGAGTGGCCGGGTATTCTGAAGTTTAGCCGATGTCTCAATATTACGTAATGTACGGATAAACTACGGAATACAGGGCCAGTTTTGAAGGCCTATCTCTCTCAAGTGGCTCGTCGGCTCGTCAGTCGATTTCGAGGTATAATTGGGCCGTTCCATTTAAAATCCGCACCCCCCCCCCTATTGAAGGCTTTCCTGTAACACCCCTCCAGAAAAGAAATTTTTTAACCCCCTTCAGAATTTTATGCAGCTATCAAGCAAACCAATTGAACCTCCTTCAGAAACTACTCGTGAGAATTTCTGTCAAGGGTACTTTATGGCGACCCCTCTGTAATATGGTTCAACCCCCCTAAGAAAAAATATAGCATTGACCTCCCCTCCCCGTAAGAAATCCCAGGCCTTCAATAGGGGGGTGCGGATATTAACTGGAATGGCCCATTATTATTCAGATGGCTCGTCGGCTCGTCAGTCCACTCTTAGGTCTCACCACGAAGCAAAGTTTTTGGCCCACCAAAAGTCAATAATCATGCCAAAGGGTCATGTAGCACTTTTAACGCCCATACCGAGCTTTACATTTATACTTTTACTTTAAATTATCTGCATTTCCAAAAGCATTTTTGATGTTTCGAAAAATTCTCAGCTGTACCAATAAAAGAAGACAATACTTTATATAATAGCACAGTTATGTCTCATCCTTTTTTCGAAAGCTAAATTATCCTTGAACAAGCCTTTACATTATCCTTCATCAAGCACGGATGAAGTGAGACCCACAAAATTGTTTATAAACAGATAACCTTGATGTTTTTACATTTCACTGAGACTTTAATACCATCACTCTAAACATTCATGTTATAATTGCCGAATGATTATCTATTATCGTAACATACAATTTTCTTACAAATACAATTATTGGTAATTTCAGTCGGGTGCCTTCCAGGTTAGGGTTAGGGTTAGTGTGATCTTATAATTTATAATTTCCACGTTCTTCCGTTACACAATTGAGAAACGATTATTCGAGCATAAACTGAAACACTGAATGTGCAAGTTAATTTTAATAATCTGACGCTGAATGTGCAAATTAATTTTAATAATCTGACGCCAACTTAATTTGAGTTATATAGACTTTTTACATCATATAAGAATGTCGCTAATAAGTCTTTTGCTTTGTTTACATGCCGCCAAATAAACTCCGCAAGATAGGAAGAGTAGTTGTCCTTGCGAGTGCCGAATACAAGCAAAATCACTTTTATGTGCTGGCAGTGTTTTTCTATTTTGCTCGTATTATATCCATCTTCATTAACGAACTCCTTTGAACGGTTACCTGTTTGGTTTGAATATCCATGTTTATCTTAGTTGTGGTATGATTTCCAGCAGTCAGAGACAATTGATGTTCCCGGTTCGATACAGTCTTTTATGATAGGTAAAAGTGTAGCCTCGCTCCAATCTTCCACTGCGACAAGAAGACATCTCCTCGAAACTTCTTCTATACCACCAAAAACCCATTGTCTTTCAACTCTGTGGCCTCGATAGTACTTTCGCTTTCCAACCTTAATTTTATCAATTTGGACCACTTTCCCTTTACGGCCTAACTTTTCACTAATTCTCTGGATTGTAACTTCACATGTTTCTCTACAAAACATATCCCAGTCAACAGCTGTGTTGGGATTAATGTTCAACTGTTTCTTAATTTCCTCTTGCGTCAGACCTTCAGAAGGTGAACGTAATGATCTCCTCCAGGGTAAGATTACTCTCTTCAAACCAACTTCCATTCCAAATACTGATTGTATTTTTATGGCGTTTGTTATTCGCTCGCTTTCTACATTCCCACTTGTAACTGTCGGATCAGTCCGTACACTCTACCAGCCCCATGTTTTCACCACAAACGGGGCAGGCACATCTAGAGGCGATCAGTTCTTCATCCATTAACCATCGGAATAATGTTTCTCTGGACAGTGTCTTTCAGTTCATAATACGTCCAATGCAAGGTAGCACTTGTTTTTCGCTGATAGCTTCCAATTCCGCTTGTGTACTGAGTTCCACAATCTACTGTATTTAAGCTAGTGCCTGCCTGACAGCCAAAAGTTTTATAAACTTTTCCATCAACTCCTACCCCAAACATTTTCCTTTGTCAGAGATTGTAACACACAACTCAATTTTGGCCGGCCACTTTTTGCCCTACTTTACGATTTGCGGTGCTGCAAAAGTCTCACCATCAATTCCTGCATTTTCCAACTAAATTTAATACTTAGTAAATCACTCACATGCAACGAGAGGTTTTTCATTGGTTAATTGTTAATGAACTATCATCAGTTCAAAGAAGCTACTTAAATCACTCATGTAAAATTAAATGACTCACATATTTCTTTTATTTTCCTCTAATTTTCTTTCTTAATCTCGGCGTGTTGCTCTTTTAATCTCAGCGCCTTGCCCTCTATTTCCATTGCCACGAAATTCTCACTTTTTATCGTTTAATTTTTTATGAGCTATCATCAGTTCTAAGAAGCTACTTCAATCACTCATGCAAACTAAATGACTTACAAATTTCTTTTGTTTTCCTCCTCATTTTCTTTCTTGATCTCAGCGGGTTGCTCTTTTTAACGGCTATACACGTATAGACGCTAACGGGACACAATGTCAAATCCAATCATTCGCCTTTCGCGTGAAAATGGAAATAACTGGGCCTCATTTCATCATAGAGTTTCAGGCACCCTTCCAATTATGAGGAACTTTTCTGACGCTGTATTCAAGTTCTTGGAAGCTAAAGCCAAATCCATGGGTAGCTCCATTGGTTATCTGCTTCCATCACTCATGACGGCAACTTCATTTCTGTTAGCCAACAGTTACACACATTTCCTAAACATTTACACCATGACTGTCAGCCACCCGGGAACTAGAAAATCCGGCGAGACCCCAAGCTACCCTCTAATCTATCTATCTCGTTCTTCAAGCACTAAAACCACTGCCGAGCCGCCGAGCCACTCTTATATATTTACCACGTACTTAAGGCACTAAAACCAATGCCGAGCCGGCGAGCCACTAAGCCACTCTTATATATTTACCGCGTACTAAAGGCACTAAAACCACTGCTGAGCCGGCGAGCTGCCGAGTCATATATTTATCACTTTCTTAACCCTTTAACCGGCAATCGTACATATTTGTACGAAGAGTGACCACTAAAGGTCAGGGCTCTCTTGTTTTCATGAAAATGGTCCCTGTGGCCCCAAATATGGAAGCTTTCCCAGAGGACCTTTCAGTCGTTGTTTTGAGCAAAATTCTTCTCGAATTTGGCTAGTTTTTCGATTGTAAAAAGCGATTTATTCTTCGTTTCGCATTCGCTAGCATTTAAAAATGGCGGCGAGGTATTTATCTCCCGAGGAAGTGTTTAGAAGAGTCCTGAATGACGATTCTGACGGGGATTATTCTGATGAAAGCGAAGCAGAACTTTCGGAAGAAGATGACAACAATGGCAGATCAGAACACGAGGAAAGTGAAGAAGACGAAAGCGACGAATTGCTTCCTGACGAAGCAAATAGCGAAGAATCTGGTAAGTTTCTTTATCAAATAACGAGTATTAGATTTCATTTCTGTTGTCTACGTGTTTTTACAAGCCTTTGCTAACAGAGAAATCTTAAGTGAAAGATTACCGATTGTGGGTGAGTTTGTTCTGCCCAAAAAGCACATGTTTTAGTAAACTATCATTGTCCAAGTAATAAGGCTGACATGTTTGTTTACATTACAAGTACAGTTCTTTTTATGCTACTTCTGAAGTGGACTGAAAACATGCTCCTGAATATTTCGAGTTCAAAACAAAGCAATTTTCAGTTACATTGGCTCAAGAAAATATTCCATTTTTTTTTCATTTTGTTAGACATTTGTGGTAACCGTGACAGAAGTCCTATTCGACCAGAAAGACAAGCTGGAAGGGGAAGAGGAAGGGGTAGAGGAAGAGGAGCAAGAAGGGGAGCAAGATCCGGTCCAGCAAGACGACGTCAAGACCCCGCTGAGCCAAACATTGACTGGTCTGACCAGTATAGTCCAGTGCAGATCCCTGACTTTGGAGAACCACATCCAGGTCCAACAAGAAGATTTCCGAATGTGAACACTGCTCGCGAACGAGACTTCTTTGATCTGCTATTCACTAATGATATATGGGAAATCTTGGTTCAAGAGACCAATAGGTACTACGATCAGCAGAAGGCAACTGACCCTGGCAAGCATAAAAGACCCTGGGCTCCTGTCACGAGAGATGAAATGGAGGCCTTCATTGGTATTATTATTCTGATGGGAATAGTCAAGTTGCCCCGTTTCGAAATGTATTGGAGCCAGGATAAACTAATCCACCAGGAAAGCATTGCCAACATCATGTCTCAAACAAGATTCCTTCAAATATGGAGATACTTTCATTTAGCTGACAATGCAGTAGCCATCCCTAGGGGTACTGATGGTTTTGACAAAATCTACCGGGTGAGAAATTTCCTTAACATTATACTTATAAATATTCGAGACGAGTATAGACTAGGCATGAATATTGCTATTGACGAGACAATGGTACCCCACAAGGGAAAGTTGGCTTTCAAGCAGTACATAAAAAATAAGCCAACTAAGTGGGGCATGAAGTTGTGGGTCCTGAGCGAGGCAACTACAGGCTATGTTTATAGATTTCAAGTATATCTGGGGAAAGAACATGGCCAGCAACCCGAAAAACACTTAGCTAGAAGAGTGGTACGAGATCTGACAGTAACAGAAACAGGGAAAAATCACCATCTCTATATGGATAATTTTTACACTGACCCACACTTTTTCCTTGAGCTTTTTGACAAGAAGATACTTGCATGTGGAACTGTACGTCAAAACAGGAAACAGTTTCCCAAGGATTTGATTATCACTACTCGAATGCAAAAACAAATGGATCGTGGAGACTATTTGTGGAGAGCTCATATGAGATTAGTAGCAACAGCCTGGAATGACCGAAGGGTTGTTTACCATTTATCTACCATTCATCCTCCAGATCTTGATGGTCAGCCTGCTACTATCAAAAGGAAATCAGCTCGTGGTGGTAATGTTGACATCAATTGTCCTCCAGCTCAGCTTGACTATCAAAAATATATGGGCGGAGTAGATCTTGCAGATCAGCTTATAAAGACATTTAGTGTCATTAGAAAGTCACGAAAAGCCTGGAAGAAGTTGTTTGGCTATGGCCTAGAAGTGTGTCTCCTGGACTCCTTCATTATTATGAAGAAATTGAAGCCCAGCAACACTGAATTTTTAACTTATCGCAAAGAAGTGGCACGACAGCTTATTGCTGGAAGATCATTTCGTGGTAAGGCTGGTCGCCCACCTACTCAGCCACAAGCTGAAGTTGATGCCAGGAGACTGGATGGATCCTACCATGAAATTGCAGTAACTGATGCAAGGAGGGATTGTGTTGTTTGTGAAGCTTTAATTGGCCAACCATATTGAGACAGGAATTATCGATATAAATCTGCCATTGTTTGCACTACCTGTGATGGGAAGGCCTTGTGCCTAAACAAAGACAGAAATTGCTGGGAGAAGTGGCATAGACAAGTTCAATATTGGCAGTAACAGTAACTTCAATTCTGGCAGGAACACTGCACTGAACTGTGCAATTCTGGATAGTTCTTTTGCAAATAATATTCAAAACATTTTTTTGTGAATTGTTCACTGATAGGATTTGTACCGGAAGTACAAAAAATGCAATATCTCAGGCTAGGATAGGAATATTTTAGTTCTGTTTGAAGTGTTTTATTCCCTGATAAATGGTTGTTGAACCCAAGTACATTGTGTGATTTAGGTAACAATACTGTACCACAGGCCCCTTGAAGAAAATATTGTTTTGCCCAGGGTGGAATGTAACCAATATATGCAAATAGCTCATACCCTTTGTGGTATGCCCTATATTTTGTTGTTTTATTGCAAATATGTTACACATTTCCAAAGCTTTACAATGATATATAGTTTATGGGAGGGTAACTTCAATACTTTTTTAGTTATCATTAGAAATAGTGATTGCGGCTGCGCAACTGAAAAATTACCTAAAAAAATCTGCCAGTTAAAGGGTTAAGGCACTCAAACTACTGCCGAGCCACTCTCTTATATATTTACCATGTACTTAAGGCCTTAAAACAACTACCCAGCTGGCGAGCCACTTGAGAGGGATAGGCCTTCAAAAGTGGCCCTGTATTCTGTAGTTGCCCCTAATGTACATGTAATGGGCTCCTGACAATAATGAATTTCTGTCCTCGCTATTGCTTGATCTTGTCACACAACACGTGTCAACTACTACCTCTCATTGCGTGACAAGACTTGGTAACTTCTAACTTAAAAGGTCACTTTTCATATTTAAACGACGATGTTTTCCAGCAGTAGAGGTTTCCTCTAACAGAATATTTCTTGTTGATGGAAAACTGTATGCATGCTGAAACAAATGTGTGTTATATTGCAGGATGGAGAGTTTCAGTGGGATCAAGTGACACAAGGTGGATATATCGCCTACTCAGTTAATTATTAATTCATATCTTCCTGTTACAAGTTGATCCTTTAACTCCCTCAACTTACTAGCCAAGTGCATAGTGATATCTTAGATGTTACGACAATTTCAGTTAGTTTACTAGGCAAACTGGCCAGTGGAAATCGAAAAACATTGGCCAAAACTGAATTTCTATTAGTCTGTGGCTAGTGGGCTGCCCTTAGTGTCGAGCCCTGAGTTTTTATCTTGATCTAACACTAAATTCTTGAAACTAATTTACAAGGAAATTTATAGCAGCTAGAGTAGACTACAGGCAGTCCCTCCTTTTCGGCAAAGTTTGTTGTGCAAGTAGAAAAATAAATAAAAAAATTGAAGTTAGCATGCCACAGGGTGCTTTTGGTCCTTTGGTCAACTGAAATTCTCCCCTTTTTTAACTTTGTAAATAGACAAGATATTTTGTGAGATACTAACTGAAAAAGGGATTCTTATGTGGTGATGTACAGTTTTGTGTAATCATGTCCTACATACATGTACCACCTCTCTGTTATATACATTGTTTCCAAGACAAATTTAATGATGTTGAAGTGGATTGGGAGATGTTCAATTACACTCTACCCCCATGTTATTTTGGATACTGAGACGTGAACTATACATTTCTGTATTTAAATAATTATAGTAAACTGAATTATTGGTGCATTTTGATTGGTTTTTACTGGTGATCTATTTGAGGACAGATGCAGTTTTAGATGACATCACCTTTGACAACATTTTGCTTTTTTATTACCTATAAAACAAATATATTCCTTGTTGCTGTGTCTCTGTACCATTATAGATCACAGAAAATGCCAAAATATGAGAGCACCTCATGTGGGAGCACCTCATTTGGGAGCACCTCATTTGGGAGCACCTCATGTGCTACAAATGTCATCTGTGATTTCTTACTGAACACGTGTACAGCAAAATGGAATGACTGTATTTATTAAATATGCACATAACATGGTTCATGTTAAACGTAACTTGTGTCATGGCTTGACACTAACTTTTCATCTTGCTAGCCAAGTGGCTAGTGACAATTTAGATGTTACAACGATTTCAGTTTGTTTACTAGCCAAACTGGCTGGTGGACATTGAAAACCACCAGCCAAAACTGAATTTCTACTAGTCTGTGACTAGTTGGCTACTGTTAGTGTCAAGCCCTGTTGTGTGTATTTGATTTCAGCAGGTGTGCATATAAATAATACTTTCCATCAGCAAAATTAGTGGACACATCATGTTAGAAGACTTCTATTTATGTGAAGAACAAGAGTCTTGTTTTATGACACTCTAAATCATGAACAAACCCCCCCCCCCCCCCTCAACATTCAGTGTTGGCTAAAAGTTAATGGAATCATGATACAATATTGCTTGTGGGGGGAGGGAGGGGGTGAAAGGGTTAGAATAAAGAGGGCAAAAGAGATCAAAATAATTGAAGTAACAGGGGTTTTCAAAGGTCAAATGTTTCAACAATTTTGTTGCCAATTTTGGCATGAAGTATACAGAGACTCTTCTCTTTATTTGATTCATGTAAATGTACATGTAAGTCATTTATAATTAACAATACTGAAGCAGGGGAAGTAAATACAATTTAATTGATTCATGTTTGCAGGACTCATCTTGGGGTCATTTTTTTATGGTTATATTATCCCTCAAGTGCCAGGTGGCTGGCTGGCTGCACGAGTTGGGGCCAAGTATTTATTTGGTTTTGGAGTACTTTGTACAGCAGTGTTAACAATGTTTACTCCTGCTGCAGCAAATCACAGTGTTGAGATGCTGATTCTAGTCAGAATATTGGAGGGGCTTGGCGAGGTCAGTTTTTGTGAGTTGGTAAAATTTAACCATTTCAGGGTGTTATTTTGGTGAAAATTAACCAAAATCCAATTCACTCGCATGAACATTTTATATATCAGCTGATTTAGGATGTAAGGTGTTGTGGCAGTTGAAGGGTTTGACATATTTATCATGTGTAATAATGTGGCTCTACTTAAAGTTGAGTTCTTTTCCATACCTCTCATGTTGAACTGCTCATATTAAGCTCTGAGGTCACAAAGAAACTGATTTACCATACTTTTGAAAGAAGTTTAGATTGATTTCTAAATGATAATTATAATCATTATAACCATTAAGATGATGAAAGCTTTAATTGGCCAACCATATTGATTTCCACAGGCTGTGACATTCCCAGCCATGCATGCCATGTGGAGTAACTGGGCTCCACCTTTAGAGAGAAGCAAGCTTTGTACCTTGTCCTATTCAGGTAATAATCTGTTAGTTCCACCCTGAAATTAAAGTTTTATATCCCAGGGTAACCAGGTGGTATTGATAACAAAAGTCAGTATTGAACAATTGCAGTATTATAATCATCTGAAATAACGCATGCTGTCATTTGTTGAAAGAGCATGCTATATCAGTGTACAAAACATGGAGCTGAGCTAATAGAGAATGTTGATGACACTGTTGTTTGCTTTTGAAATAAAGTTTGGTTTGAAAATTGAAAGTAATGCATGGGGAATTGAATGGATTCCTTATTTTAAAACAAATAGAGAAGCCTTGACCTTACTCTTTTCTGTTGTAAAGGTCTTAGGAAGCAGTTAGAGCACTCAAGAAGTAGAGAAACACTTGAGTATGTCTTGTGTTTCTCCCTACAATTCTTTCTTTCTCTTGCTGCTTCCTGCATGCTTTACATCATGCTTCAACCCTGTGTCAAAGTGGCTTCTTTCCGTTTCACTGGGGGCATAATTTATGATAGGCAAATTCATTTATGGGTACTTACTGGAAAGTAGATACACCTTTTACTTATATTTAGTGGTAATTGAGCTTGTCTTCATACCTCTTTGTGTATTTTAAACAGTTCATATGTTTACTTTCCTGTTTTTCCACAATAACAGGCCTTAGTATTGGGACAGTTATTGGCTTGCCATTTGCTGGTTTACTGTGTTCATCTGATCTTTGGGGAGGATGGCCATCTGTATTTTATATTTTTGGTATGCAATGCACAACTCTGTACATGTATGCTTGTAAAACTGATAAATAGACTTTTAAAAGTTTCAACTGTTGATTTCTGAATTGAGTGCACCAGTTGTGAGCACAGGCATGTCTATGGTCATTGTATGTAATATTAAACACTTATAAACTGATCTTAGGAATTGCCAAAATTAATTGTTTCCAGTGGGACCAGTCATGACTTGTTAAACAAATCACAAAACTTTATTCCACGCACATGTATCAGTTTGCCATCTCCACCCGCAAATAGCAAAAGCTAGATGAGGCGGGCGGAGAGGTAAGGTTACAGCAGTCATAACAGGTAATATAATAATTGTAAAGTAACTAACTACCTAACTAACTAACTAACTAACTAACTAACTAACTAACTAACTAACTAACTAACTAACTAATAATTGTAAAGTTGGAGAGTTGACGAAATTCGTTAGGAATTCTGTTTCAAAGTTTAACTCCAAACCTGGAAAAAGAATCTTGATTTAGATTCAGTCTTGAAGTTTGAACATAATAATTTCCAGACGAAGAAAACCTGGTCTCATGCTTGTGCTTTGAATTAGCTTTTAGTAAAGAAATCACAGACACAACAAACAGCACAACAAATACATTAAAGGATGCAATACGAAAAAATAAATTGCCATTGTAGGTACATTTAAGTGCAGGAAAAAATATGAGTTGCCTTTTTCACCAAAATTCATGGATACCAGCAACAGTGCACTGTTACTCCTCTCTGATGTGGTAGACTTTGCTTTTTGCCAGCTCAGAGACTTGCAATGGGAAATAGTTTTCTTGTTGGATGTCATGTGAAAGTAACCTCAAAGTAACCAATAAGAACCTGTGTTGGGTAAAAATAAACAACTACAGTATGTAATAATTTTTTTTTTGTCAACAAAATTCTTTTTTTCTTCACTTGAGAGAAGAAGTGGGTTGCAGAGTATGGAATATGTTAACATTTTGGGGGAAATCTCTCAAAGAATTCTACATTTCGGTGAAGATGTTAATGGTAAAGATGAAAAGATTTAAAAAAATGTGACCCTCTTTGGTAGAACACTTTTCTGTTAAACGGTCTAGAAAAACAGTTGTAAACAGATACTAAATGGCTAACTCAAACATTTAAGTAGTTTGGACCATAATTATTAAGGAAGTTAAGTTGTGATTAGATAGTATGGAATCAATTTAAAACAATTTAGGAACATGGAGAAGTTGTCATCAATAACGATTGCTATTTTGTCCAAGCTGGGGATCTTGTGGTGTAGAAAGTAGAACCAGCTTTAACCTTTTCACCTCCAAAGTGACGAGTAGGTCACTGAGAATAAAGGAAATGATCACCAACCAAAGAAGCTCTTGATTGGTAAACAAATTCTCCTTGTTAGCACCTTAGGAAATGTATAGAGAACAGTATGGAGAATATGGCTACTGTTGTTAGGGTGTAAAAATCATGTTAAACATTTTCTTTGTTGTTATTTATAGGTATGTTGGGTATTCTTTGGTTCATTCTTTGGATGATCTTAGCTCATAATAAACCCGCAAATCACCCCAGCATATCTGAGATGGAAAAAGATTACATTATATCAAGTATAGGTTCTGGACAGGACGACAAGAAAAGAGTATGGCAAATTTGTACTGTTTTTCTTTATTTTCCTAGTTTTTTGGTTTGTATACCAGACTTCAAGTCTTTAGTTATCTAGTTTGGTTTATACAAGTCATGTAACCATAAATGCAGCAATGCATGTGAGTCTGGATTTTTTTTATGGGAGACATGATGGCTTTTAATTTGTGGTTAGTAAGCTTGAGAGGTCTGAGTTTGAGACCAGGGGCCCGTTCCTCCAAGGTCCCAGTAACTTAATGGACCCGTAAAGCTGTTATGTTTTCATTGAAGATAGGGTTTTCAAGAGTTTTGAAAATGATACAATAAGATTATCAGCTAAAGAAACAAAAAGGACTGGTTTGGGTGCCAGAACCTGCTTCCCTATCCTTTAAATTTTGATTTTAAAACATGGCTTCGGGCCCGTTAAGTCACCGGAACTTTTGAGAAACAGGCCCCTAGACAGTTTTGTGTTCTTGGGCAAAACACTTTACTCTCACAGTGCCTCTCTCAACACAGGAAGATAAATGGGTGTGGCAAAGTTATCAATCAGAGAAGCCTGATGAAATACTTTAGGAGTTACCTTGTGATGGACACTGGCACCCCATTCAGGGGGGACTCCTAGTTGCTTCATGCTAAAGAAATCAGAAAAAGCTAGAGGGCTGTATGGGTCACTTGGTTTGAGTACATACTTTTTACCTTTTCTTTTTTTTCATATCTGAATTGCTTCATAAGACATTAAACTCATGCATTTCAGGAGATACAATTCAGCTGACTACCTATTGCAGCATTGTGTCCCTCACTGATTTTTAAATGTAGCATCTTTTATTGTTGTGCATGGGTCGATTAGTCAAATCATACACCCACATTTATTCTTTTCTTTTCAGAATTTTCGCACACCTTGGCGTTATATATGGACGTCACCAGCTGTCTGGGCCGTTATTGTGGCACACTTTTGTAACAATTGGGGGTTTTATACTTTTCTTACCTGCTTGCCCTCCTACTTTAAAGAAGTTCTTAATTTTCCAATTTCGAAGGTAAGTCTTCCATACCTGATAATTTTTTCATGTTTAAGCTTTAATAGTAGTAGCAGTAGTAGTTGTAGTGGTAGCAGGCCTCCTTCGGTTGATATTCACCATGGATACTGTGCCCTTGGAGTTCATGGTGTTGCCACAAGAGCAGCAGCATCAGTGGCTGGTAAGACCAATGCAGGAGTAGCAGTCTCTACTGCACAAAGTGCAGATGTAGTTAGTCATGGGGGGTGTCAGTGTCCGTGCACCTTCCACCTGACTCTCCTCTCTTCTGCCAGGTTCAGGATCCTTGCCTCACCTGTCTTCAGCAGTTTTAACAATGTTTCTCATTCAACAAAATGGAAGCTTTGCAAGTCCTATAGGGAAATGTTGTTAACCAGAGAGAATTCCATTTCACGTACAGTGTACATGATCTACATGAATGTTAAATACACATGTGCAGGCACATCAGACTTCCTTGCGTTCACCCTTTTATCCCCAGGATCTCATTCATCCCTCGACCATACAATCATAACGTTGGTGTGGAGAATTTGATATTGGATCCACCAATAATCCCCTATTTTTAATTGATATTTTTTTAATTCTCATCACTTGTCTGTTTGATGTTGTATAGATATTGTAAGGAGAAATTCTGCCTCGGTCACTCAAGGGAGTCAAAGGGTTAAAAAATACTGCAGTAGGAAACACTTATCCATTTCAAATTGATGACCATCACTATTGTTATTTCCTTCAACCTCAAAAAAAAAACGTTCACAGAAAGTGTCCGGCTGATTGACGTGTACGTGTACGTGTACATACTAACACTTTTCATCCTAGTTAATTTTTCCGATAACGTCAGGCCACTTTGAGTCATACTTAATTGAATCTGACTCTTAGTTAGTTCATGGGCTTTGATTGGTCAATTTAGTGGGCCATGTTTCACTGTACAGACTGCTGAATTCAAAAGTTTGTTTGAATTGAAATTTTCTTTGTGTGAGCCTAGAGATTTGATAAATATCCTACTGGCATCATTTTTTCCGTCCATACAGAAACCTACAGAACCTTTGTTACTGAAATTTTGTTGTTAACTTACAGTAACTTACAAACTCTGAAGAATAGAAGTTTTCTTTTTTACAGTACTTGAGTTGTGTATGGCTTTAATACCATTCTCATTAACACAACCATTACACAGCGCACACCACATATTGACATTCCTATGTAAGCAGTATGCAGGAAGTTTGTTAGCATGGACCTTCATGTAGTTCAATAGCTTAGCCTGCCACAAGTCTCAGTGGTCGACCATCAGAAGCATTAATCAGAAGTTCATAGGTTGAACCCCCATTGAGAACATTCAGAGGCCTTTTTTCCAAGTATGCCTGTGTTATGGAATACCAATGTCTTTCACTAACTTTACCTTTAGTTACTTCTTTGTTTTTAAAAGAACTGTTAAGTTCTTCTTTTAGATATTTTTCCATGTATCAAGCATTCAAATGCTGCTTGTTCTTTCTGTTATAGAATGGTTTTGTTTCTGCCATTCCATTTTTATTATATTTTTTTGTTATGGTTGGTGGGGGACAAGTGGCAGATTGGTTGCGGTACAGCCAAATATTAACAACTGGAGAGGTTCGCAAATTATTTGCTACAGGAGGTGTGTGCTACATGTAGTCATCACAGATGTAATTTGTTCCATTTTTCCATTGCCATCTATTGTCATACACATATACCTTACAGTGGGATAACGTAGTTCTATAGCCAGATTAGCTTTGAATTACTGTAGAATTTATATGTAGTCGAACTTGGGAAACTCACCCTGATAAAGATAGAGGCTGAAATCCTTAAAAAGGCATGTGGTATTGCAGCACCCCCCTCCCCTCCCTGCCTCCAAATTAGATATACATTTGCATGAAGTCAAAGTTAAACTTTCCTTTCAAAGAAGTTAACCGCCTCCCGGTTAGCTCAATGGATAGAGCGCTAGACTGTTGTGTGGAAGGTTGAGGGTTCGAGCCCCAGCCAGACCAACACTCGGGGTCTTAAAATAATTGAGAAGAATTTGCTACCTTTCAATAACATCAAGAAATGGTTAGATATTCTAATCTTCTTGGATAGGGACGAATAAACGGAGGTCCCGTCTCCTGCAGGGTTGGGGGTAGGAGACGTTAATTTCCCACACACAAGATTACTGTGTGATGGATGTCCTCCCCTGGGTGGGATGGGGGAGGTTTACTGGGCCCACAGTTCTTGGCTCAAGCTGTTGAGGTGTCCCTGCCTGTCGGCGAATCTTATAAATCATAAAATCATAAATCAAGTTGATGGTTACGCACATATACTGTGCCTTGGATCTTTGGGTGTGATCATTGTGGACAGTATCTTATAGCCTTTTATTCATACACAGTGCCTTTTTCTCCGATAGTTTTTAAATTCAATACACAGCATAGGTACATCAACCTACAAGTATAAGTGCTTCATGACTTGAATGACCCCATTACAGAACAGCTGAACCTCGATTATCTAGACCTCGATTATCCAAAACTTTTTCTCTGGTCTCAATTTTGTCATGAATATTTATTTATCATGATCAAGATATGTAGCCATATTCTTTTTAAAACTACAGTGTTGAAAAGTGAAGCAAAGGCCAGTTTGTTTCACTTTCAAAAACTAAAAGTAGCACTTGCATGCATTGTAACTAATGAGGATGAAGGAGGTCTGATTGGCTTAGAGTTGCTTTTTTGCTAAGAGAGATTTCAAGCTCTATTGGCTCATTTGGCATGGCGTACAAGATAAACAAGCTGCACAGTGTCATGAATGTTTATTCATGATCATTATGTCCTCGAAGCATAAGAGATCCATTCTTTCGACAAAAGATAAACAGTCTATAATTTTCAATCATTATGATAGAAAGGAGAAAAAAGAACCAATTTGTCACTTTCTTAATTTAATAATTTTTTGTTCCTCATTAATATTCGCATTCTCAATTATCTGGACCCTTGATTATGCAGACTATTTCATCTAGTCCCAGTAAGTCCAGATAATCCAGGTTCGACTGTAATTATATTAATTAATGTCAATACAAATTTTAATCATAAGTGAATTGCTTTCAAGGTTTCCTCATCCCTGCGTGTCTTATGGTGTCAACAAGTTATGTTGGCTGTGAGGACACAACTCTAGCTGTTGTTTTGTTTTCAATTGCTCTTGGATTGTTAGCGCTTAATGCTTCTAGCTACAACGTCAACCACTTGGATATTGCCCCAAGATATGCAGGGATCCTCATGGGAATCACCAACTCAGCAGCTACAATACCTGGGATAGTTGGACCCTACATTGTTGGTTATTTAACGAACAATGAGGTAATAAATTGAAGACATTTTGATTTGAATTTTTTCGTTCATTTTTCCAAGTGCATATTTGCATAGATTAACCAGTAAGATTGACCAGTATCCAATTTCTCCTTTCATTACCAGTAATACTGCTGAATCATTCATTAAGATCATGCAAATTAAAGAAATGATTGCTAACCTAAGAAGCTTTGATTGTTAAAAGAATTCTCATTGTTAGCACAAATATGGAGAAGAGTATGTAGAACAGAGATTCTGACATTTAGGTCTAAAAGGGTCCAGACCTGCTGGAGGGGTGAAAGGAGTAAAGCTCTTCGTTATTCCCCCCCCCCTCCCCCCGTGTATCAGGAAAGAATACATATATCTTATTGGACGTTTTGTTGTGTTGTATCGCTGAGTATTTTTATGAGTTGTGCCATATTTTGACGAGCCTGTAGGGCGAGTCAAAATACAAATAACT